AAGTTGTTATTCCCATGGTTCCCAGTTCCAATGTTGCCGTTCTTGTCAGCAGTGCATGCCTTCTGTCCCGTCCTGAGGCATTCAACGCTGACAATAACCTCGGTAGACCGCGCCTCCAAGACCTTGAAAGGACTCATCCTAATGGCGCTGACAGAAATCCCCATGGCATGGAGGGTGGACTTCCTGACGGACCCTGCCTTGCTGTACCCTTGCGATCTGGTATAGGTGATGCTTGGGGATCAATACAGTGACAGGAGGAAGCTCCATCACAAACACATCCAACATCGTCCAAACAAACTCATTCGATCAACAGATATGCAAGGACCCTGCTCATACCTGCAGAGATCATCTGCACTGTTGAGCTCCAGCACATAAACATGCGGTCCATACCTATGAGAGAGTGGCGAGGATGAGGAGTGAAGGGGTCGGTTGTCAGAGTCCGGACGGTGCGACATCCGCTCATTCCCAAAAAGGCCCGCAGACTCGGATGGGGCAGGCCGGGACGACAATACACTGATCCCGTCAGCCAGAACTCACGTGGCTCCCGGGAGTGAGAAAAACTTCGTCGTGCATGCGCCCTGAAGGAGTGGGAGGGGGCGTGCTTTGCTCTTCCAAGGTGGATGGCCGTACGGACCATCCCCTGCAATACGAGTGTTCCGCATCGCCAGCATCCTTCGACATCACCTTCGCGAGCACACCAAGGCTCAGTACGAGAAGCGTCAGGCCCATAAGAGGAATGCGGCCCTGCGAAGCCATCGTGCCGCACGACTCCTAATAGGATTTCTAGGTTCGCCAGATGGGTCCTCCTCCAGTATATTCTAGGAGCTTGAGAACTTATGGGAACTGGGTCAGGAAACTGTGCATCGAAGTCGCTTCTAGTCATTCCCCTACTGCTCCTGTCACATAAGGAGGGTGCGAGGGGGGTAGGTAGCACCCCCCCGGGGTGACACGACGACTCCAGCTTGTTCCCGCCGTCACAGGCTATGCGATAGGAGGACGCGCGTTGACGTTCCAATCAACTCATTGGACTGAAACCAATGTAAGATGTTCGAAGATGGCTCCCTGTGCTCTGCATATCGTCCAGCCATTGTCCCGGCAGCAATGCTGATGCAGAATTTCGGCCTCCGTGCAGGCGAACGACCCATCCGTCTTGATGGGGTAAACTGTGCCACCACTTCCTAAGCCTTGCTGCATGAGGAAGCAGTAACAAAGTAAAAACGTTGAGGCATGCCACAACGTGAAGTGAGGGGCGCAAAAATCACTTCCTAGACATGGGACGGGATATACATGTGCATTCTCACAATTTGACAGGGCTATTCCAACGAACAGGATAAGATGGTGTCTGATGGAGGATGGAGGTATGGAACACCCCAATGGAATGCTGATTCCAGGGCGTTCTCAGGCCACAAGCTCATGGGCACGGCATGCAATACCCAAGTCTCAGGCACGACGAGGTTGTGCACATCAAAGAAGGGACAGTGCGCTGTCCCTGATGATCTGGCATGGGTTGGCCATGGACTTCAGCATCCCTGCTTGTGTGGTGGCGAGTTCCGGGAGGGCATCAACGTTGCCAACAGCATGGACCCCAGTATCCCAAACCTCACCTGCAGAGATCTCCTGTACTCAGTTTGCTGCTGCCCAGCTGTACTTGCATCCTCCACGATGGTGCTACAGATGCACTCCAGTCCAAGATCAAGGTATGTCCATGTCTCCCAGGGCGGCTGGCGTGCTCCATGCTGCCTCTTAGCAGTCGCCACCAGCGGCAGTCGCATTGGTTGCTCCACACTGAGATGGCTGAGGGCCGCCATTGACACATGGTTGTAGGCCTTTAGCAATCCCGCCATCATCTACGGCTGCAAGGGGGGGGGGAGAGGGCAGCAAGCAAACCGGTGGGACCTCCACTGCTAGCCCTACGGGAGCACAGCAATGCAAGCTGGCCATGGTGCCCCCATCAACCTGTCACACCTCCAACCTGGTGTCAATTGGTACCACCAAGGCTCGACCGCCAACTCACAGCTTCAAGAGACATCTGAGGGTAGCAGACAGGGGGCCCAGCTCGCCTGGTGCTACAGCCTCACCAAAGCCCTCTAGCCAAGGAGCAGACCTCCTTTGCGCGACTCCCGTGGCCCTACTCGGCGCAGGCTTATCGTCCCCAGAAATCGTGTCAAGGCGGACGGCAGGCGCAGCGTGATGCCCTGTGGCATAGAGACCTCATCTTTGCCAGCTGTGGGCCCTGTAGATTGCAAAGTGGAAAGGAGAATGTGGATGTTGCTGGACAGGATGTGGACCGTGGGTCTCTGCATACCGACTTGCAATTATCCAGCATGAGAGCCCTGGCGTCAGCATCGCAATATGCCCTTTCTCCTCCAGCCCGTGTATTATCTCAGAGCTCCTTCCATCCTCACCATCGTCATGAGCATCCTTGATGGTCAGCGATCAGCCCGGCAGCATCTGCACCAGCGTGTGCAGCGCATGGCGTAGCTCAAGATCTGGTGTGTGGCACTCGCTGTAGCCACCAGCTCCGAGACGCACTTAGGGGGCGCATATCCCTTACCCCCATCAAGCCAGGACAGCAAGCACGCGCCCAGTGTCGACCTAGCACGCAGCAGAGCGCTGGCCAGAGCGTCCTTGGCTTACGGGGCCTGTGCCGCCCGCGGAGCACGGAGCGTGCTGATCACCGATGCATCAAATTCACGCTCAGCAAGCTCCAAGGGGAGCCGGACTGCGGTGGCCAGCTCCAGCACAACGGCGCCATACATACTACTGGCCCCCAAAGTGGCATGCACTCGCTGCCAGATCTCATTGTCAGGTGGAGCGCCGGGATCAGACACCAGTATGCATATTTTTTATGCCACTGTTTAGACAAGCACTCCCCCGGGCGAGGGTTACGCCAGCCCGTCATGAAGAGATCGCTCCAACGGTCCCCGGGCCACGTCTGTGAAGTGCATGAGGAGTGGAAACTTGCATCGGGGTTGATGCTCACAAAGAGTGCGGTGATAAGTAGCTATTGGGCCCCAAGAGGGGCCCGGCAGGCAAGCCTAATGCCGATTGCATACCACGAATCAAAGGATTCGATGCAGAGGCGCAGCAGGCACACTGGCTGATATATACAGGCCACAGTGCTCCTCAATGGCAGGGCTGACCATCGTGCTGGGTGACACCATGCATCTCTTCCTATCCTTGCGCCCCCAATGTCAATTATTACTGTCCTTCACCTCAATCTCACCTATCCAGACATGTCGCCACAACAGCGACGGCCGCTGCTGCAGCGCACGTTCCGCCCTCCTACCGCAGGCCTGCACAAGAGTGCTGCGTCTCTGCTGGCTGGCTCGGAAGACAATGCCGGAGGTGTAGCGCTGGGTGCCATGGCACCACACCAATGCATGGGGAAGGCAGGAACATTCTTCTCAAAGCTCGGCTAACCTACTCAGCTGTGTCACAATTGCCTGGCATTCAGTGTATGAGAGGGCGGGCTTGATAAGAACTGAGCCAGCGCTGGCACCTGTCTCTGTGACTTGACTGGACGCCTTTGAAGGCGCTGTAGCCACTGAGGTGTGGACGTGCATGCAGAATTTACCCTCGACTCCTCGCCACTCCAGTGAGTGCAGCAATGCGGCAGCCTGCATGGAACTGAGCAGAGGAGAACCTTTGCCTTTGGTGTTTGAGTTCGTATGAGCAGAAACAAGAGGCTTCGCGTGCAGTCTTTGTCGGGTTGCCTTACATGCATGAGGTCTTGGATGGGTCAGACCATCAGCCACACCGTCGAGCGCCCCATCCTACAATGGACAGGCACCATGTCTTCCAGACTCACAAATGTGAGCGCCTGACGAGTCCCTCCCATGCTCACTAGATCAAAGAGAGTCTTGGGGATCCATGACATCTGAGAGGGGAGACGCGTCCTCCAGCAGCTGAGCAATTGTCGCGGCATCGCCAGCCAACTGGGATGCCAGATGCGGAAGGCCGCTTTCATTTGCTGTGCACCCTGCAGCCGGAGTTCTCCACACCCTACACTCCAGCTCTGGTGCCCACACAGCTCACGGAATGAATAGGACCACCAGTCAGGCTGCAGGCCACCGAGCTCACACTGAGCAGCCGAGCGTCGGCCGTGCCTGCTGGTCACAGGGCCAGCCCAAACACCTGCTCTGCAAAAGCAGCGGCAAGCTCCAAGCTTGCACCGATGGCTCCCTCATTGCACCTGCCAACCATCAAGATGGAGAGATTGCCTTTCTTGGCGGGTGGACGGCGCAATCAGCCATGGAGTGCGTCTGCGACAACACGCAAGTCAGCAGACTCCGCCCAAAGGTATTTGTACCTCCGCTGACTGCTGCCATGTGCTGGACACTCCAGCATCTTGCCAGAGGCTGCTGCCACATGGTTTTCTGGCACCATGAGGAAAAGCGCCCGCGGTATCGGGGATACAGTAACATACTTACCCTCGTTGAGCTCTTCACGCCCCGTCCCTCATAAGATGGCCTTGGAGCTCGCCCAGCAACTTTGTCGAGCTGAAGTTTTTTCGGGGAAGAGTCGCCTCCGCCATCGATGAGCCAATCGGCCGTCACGTCGCTCACCCCACATAATGAATCAGACAGAGAATGACCACCATCTAGCGGGTTTCTGGGAATTGAGGTTGGAGGTAGCAAAGCTTTGGGACGTGGGAGCAATCGAGTGAGATCTTGAGCAGATTCCCAGCACAGTGTTAAGAGTGACGTAGTCCTCTCCGCCGCCTTCGACCGTGTGATCTGACCGTCAGTACTTGTCATGAAGCTAGACTGGAAAGTCGGCGATCGTGCGCTGCTCACCTCGCTTGAAAGGGAGTTTCCAGATCTCGGCCAGATCCAGTCGCGCCCTAGGGCTTTTGCGGACTGGGAGCACGCTCCCACGCGCGCCACGCCCGCGCCATGCCCGGATGATGTTAGGAACGTGCTCGGCGTTTCACAGACTGCAGCAAACCAAAATATCCTAACACCGTTTGCGTGGTTGTTTGTGTTACACCTTGCCATATGAGGGTGCTCCTGTTCGCCGCCCTGGCCTTGGCAGGCTTCGCCGCGCCGGCCTCTGCAGCAGAGGCTGTGCCCCTGCCAGAGGACTACACCACGGCTTGCTCCAGAGATGTGATGTGGAACATAACATCTTCCGACCACACATGCTCCGAGACGTTGACCAATTATCTGGATCCCGGTGAGATGCCTTTCCTGGCAGGGGAATGACGCTGGTACAATTGTGGGGCCCGATGAGCGGGGTTGCCGTGTGTGAGAGAGCGCACTTCAAGAAGGGGCCCCAACACAGCTCAAATCTCGGACCTCTGCAGTTCCATCTTGCTGCGAGACGCTGGCCACCTACTACGGCCCGAACTCGACCCTTCCGTCCCGGAATTGCTGGTGTGTCCCGGAGTACTTTGCCGAGCAGCTCGCCCTCAGCGTCGTCCACTACATCTCCGTGCCCACCTACCTAGCGGGTTGCGAGTGAGTGGCTGGGGTGTTTTCTTTTGTGGAGATTTGAACCAGGTGACGTTGGTGGGCACAGCCATACCCTTTAGCCCACGGAGACTGTCCTTGCCTGGACGTGCAGACCTCATCACGACCAGCAGGCTTGGCACCCTGCACTGAATGTCGCCTCATTGCAGCACACGTTTGCCCTGCTCACCCGTCTCCCAACGTCACCGCAGAAAGCTGGGCTATCCCATCTACTACTATCAGGAGGGCGCGGGGCCGTGTGCGGGAGTGTCTGCAGCCGGTGGCGCGGCCACCACTGGGGCCGCATCTGCACCGGTCGAAGGCCTCCCAATGCGGTCCTTTGGTGCATGGGTTCGTGGGCTCGCGCAGTACAAGTGGGGGGCCGTCATGTTCACCGTCGCCATTCTGGCAGGTGGGGAGAAGGTGATGAGCCCTCCAGCCTCGTGGGCACTGCCGCTCACAGGGCATGCAATGCCTGCATGGGATCGTGCGCAACATCCGACATGGGGGGCGCTGCCCTGCAGGGTTGCCCTGCGCTGCAGGGCTGCCATGCACTGCGGGTGTGCCTCTCGTGCGGGGCACTGGCTGACCGCGTGGATGCCTGCTCCTCCTGACCCCACTCTCCTGTCAAACCTGTGCAGCCATTGGCTTCTCCCTCATGGCATGGGCCTTCATCTTCGATGCCGGTGTCGACATCTACGAGGCGATCGTTGCTCGCAAGAACCGCTGACTCTCTCCCAAACCTTCTGATTGCTGCTCCCAGCCCTGTAACATCTGCACAACGGCCCTGCGGCTCTGTCGCCAGCGCTTTGCAAGCCCCAGCCATCCTGTTGAGCAAGAGCGTGATGCGGTGTTGACGTGTCCAAATGCGGGTCTCGATTGCTCGCCGAGAGGCGGCTTCCTGCACAGGGCCCATGCTTGGCATGCAGTGGCAAGCACAGGGCAGGAGGAATGGCTACATGGCTGCTGGCTGTCCTCGCTGGCGCCCCCGTCTCATGCTGCATTGGGAACAAGTCAGCCAGCACATCGGCCCCTCTGCTGGACCTCTAGAATATGCGTGGATGCCTGTCCCATGAGCGAAGGCTCAATATTTCGATGGCTCCACCAGCCGCACCCTGCCACGCCCCGGCCCTTGCGCGGAAATCTGGAGTTTCAGTGCTTCTCCTTCCAGACTGCTCCCACTGTCACTTTCCAGCCCGTCAGGGTGGTCTCAAACCTTGGCGTACTCCCTCCCATCAACAGCAACAGGCCCCGCTTGATCTCGACACCTCTGGCTGTGTGCAGGGAGATCTTGTTTACAGACAGCCTAGTTACGTGGCTTCTCCTTCTTGCCACGGAACAGGGCCAGCAGGGACACACCAGCCACCTTCACCACCTGCAAGGATGGCCATGGAGGGAGCTGATGAGCAGTCTGGCAATCGCGCGGTGGGCCCCTGGTGGAGACACACCGTCTGCGCCGCCAGCATGCAAACGACGAGGCACGAAGAGGTCCTGCGCGGCACACCCACCGCAAGCCACTCCTACTCCCACCACAAACCTTGAAGCGCACGCCGGGAATATCTCCGACGGCATGGCCTCGCCGACCGAACCCAGCGATCAGCACCTCGTCCTGCGGGAGGGCATGGGGTTGAGAGGTTTGGCGTCACGCCATGCTCGTCGACCTGGGCGCCTGGCCCCATGGCAGAATGACAGGTGCCCCGCCCCGCTCACGTTCTCCTCGATGAAGTTCAGGCAGCCATCGTTGGGCACGAAGGCAGCGATCTTCTTGCCGTTCTTGATCAGCTGCACACGGGCGCACTTCCGGATGGCGGAGTTGGGCTGCTTGGCCTCAATGCCGATCTTCTCCAGCACGATGCCCTTGGCGTGAGAGGCACCAGCAAAGGGCTTCTTCCACTCGGAGCCCAGGTGGGACTTCTTGAAGTCCTTGTCAGCCCACCGCTGGTTGCGACGCAGCAGCTGGAGCTTGCGCCCCGCTCCCATACCACGAGTCTTACCTGTAAGCATTGAGAGGGGATGGTCGTCCGGCTTCGAGCACCCCCAGCCATCGGGGGTCGGCCCTTCCCCCACGCAGCGTCGCTACTGCCCACCATGCAGCCAAGCAACGATTGCAATTTCAAGAATGTAGATTCCGCAAAAACACCCTCGTGAAACGACCCCGTGCGTCCGGCAGAACGGACGGTCGCTGCCCCACGCCTGGCACCGCCCTCCCACAGCTCGCTTCCCTCCTCACCCATGGTTGCAGGTTTTTGTCCACACACGCACTGCGCTGAAAGAGGGTTGAGCCTGTGCCCTACCGGAGGTGTATCCCCGGCATCGAGTCGGCGGTGGTACCGCTTTACCCGGGAGGCGCAGGAAATTGCGCGGGAACACCCCCCCACACAGCAATGCACTCGTTCTCGCTCGTGCGCTCCTCCCCGGGAGTCGCTACATGCATGCAGGTGTGCAGTGCTACAGCACGCCCCTTGATATCAGCCATCGGGCATGGTCTCCCCTTTCATCGCTCGCTCGATGCTGCATGCAGTTTGTTAATGCGCTGTCGAGGGCACACAGACAACGGATGCTGGCGTGTGTCTCGAACTTGCATGGTTCGATCCAATTCCGGTACGGGCTGGGTCTCATCATGCTGGAATTCAGGGCATGGCCCAACTCATATGTAGTGTTTCTCACAATGTGGATGGGCTGCTTCCCCTGCTCGACCCCAGGTGCACCGGTGCGAGGCCTCAGGGACTGGTAGGAGGCCACCCTGGGCGGTCCAGGCGGGAGATCCCCCAGCACTTCGCCTGGAGGGCAACTCTGCCTCCCCTGAACGCGCAGCACATCATGCAGACCGTCGACTCTGCCTCCTCAGGGGGGCGCAGGAAGAAGCAGCGGATTGAGACGCCCCTGACGCTCATGCGTCAGGCCCTGGTGCAGGCCACACGACAGAACAGCTGGGCCGATGCCTGGCAGGCATACCAGTCTGCCAAGAAGCAGGACATCAAGCTCACTGCCGACGTGTACAACTCCCTCCTCTTCATGTGCGCGGGGGGCGAGGAGTGGGAGGCCCTCTGTGCACGGGGGCAGGAAGCCGGCGAGACTGGGCCCCACAATGGCGACGGTGTGCCCAGCTGTGAGACACGGCTGGAGGTCGGGCAGTCTCTGTTCTCAGAGATGGAGGCCCTCTTTGGCACGCCCTCGGAGATGTGGTGCGTGTGGAGAGGATGGGTGGCCGGCCCGGCATGAAGAACATGCGAGCGGGCACACCCTGAACTCATGGGGCCGGCATCAGCGCAGCTCTGGCTTTTTAGCCCTGGCGTTGCAGCCATGGACCTGCTCCGGAAATTATGTTCAAAGGCACCCCCCCTTCTTGAAATCCGTCCTCAGCTTCACGGCGCTGGCACGGCTGGCTGCCATGGCCGGCGATGGGAAGCGAGCCCTGGCGCTGGGGGAGGAGCTGGTGTCCCAGGGTGTCCCCCCAAAGCTCAGAAACTTCACGCCAGCCTTGCATGCGTTTGCTGCCCACCGACAGGTAGGTGTGCAGCGCTTGATGCGATGTGGGATGCGGCAGCAAAGCGCACGTGTCACACGCATAAACCAATCATCACCACCCTCGTTCTCAGGCGAGCGAGGCGCTCGGTCTCTTCACCAGGCTTCAAGCCCTGTCGCTGAGTTTGACGGAGGACGATTACAGGCTGATCATCAGGGCTGCCTGTGGGAGCCCCCTCTGGGCAAGCATGCAGTGAGCTTGGTAGAGAGCAAGGGAAAGGGGAAGTGTTGTTGGCCGGCATGTTGTTACACAGACTTGCGCCATGCTCGCCCTGACTCAGCCCTTTGCTGAGCACCGTGGAACCCCGGGGGACGCGCTGTCTTCTTCGTGTGACAGCACTCGCCTCTGAGACTGTTCGTGATCAGACATTCTCACCGCACCGCAACTCCCCCACCCCCCCGAATCCCCGTCAGGGATGTGTTCCTGGCCATGGGGGAGGAGCTCACTGTGCTCCAGCCCGGCACGCTGGAGGTGGTCGAAGCCTACTTTGAGGCACTGAGCTCCCAGGCCGAGGGTCCTGGCCCCTTCACCCTCTCCAGGCAGACAGTGAGAGCCGATGGACAGGATGACAGTGGCGGGGAGCCCATCCAGGCGGTCAAGCTGTCGAGCGCCGAGAGGGACACTTTCATCAAGGTACGGAGGGGGTGGACGCAGGCGTGCTGCGCGCAGCCTTTCTTGGTTTGCTGACTGGGACCAGGCCCCCCCTCCCTGCCACCATGTCACATGCAGGGCATTGCCAACCTCGCCAGGCGGTCACAGCGCGAGCCCAACAAGTTTGAGCAGGTGGGCACCGTGCCCGGGGAACCCAGGATGCCTCGCCGCCGCCCAATCACGCATGTGAGCATCTTGGCGCCCCACACACACCCGCGCAGTTTGATGCCTGGCTGGAGGAGCGGGGGTCCCCGGAGATCATCATCGATGCAGCCAACGTCGGCTTCTATGGGCAGAACGCGGGGGCGGGCATGTTTTGCTTCCCACAGATGAAGTGAGTTGGATGGGTTGTGGGGACAGGGTGTCCCAGGGGAGCTGCTTCGTTGATGAGAAGTGAGTAACACGGACCGCCGCCCATCCCAGGACCATGGTGGAGCATCTGGGCACCGTCTTCCCGGGGAAGAAGCCTCTGGTGGTGCTGAGTGCGGGGCGTGCGCAGCGAATCCAGGTGAGCCGGGCGTCCCACGGGTGCGAGGCGCACACACCATCGCAGCATGTGCCTCGCTTGCAGCCTGCACGGCACAGGGTGGAAGCCTCAGCCGCCACCTCCTCTTCGCAGAAGCTGGACCCTGCGCTGCGGACCTTCTTCGCCAAGCTTGAGGAGCAGGGGTCCTTCTTCGTCACCCCTTTTGGCTCCAACGATGACTGGTGAGGGGTGGCAGGCCTTGTTTCAGGTTGGAGGCAGGCCTGGTGGGGCCGCAGCCCCTGCTCGCTTTGCCGCGCCCCGCATCCGCCGCTCACACGTGCCACACCCGGTCCCCGTCACTGCACCATGCTGCATCCCACTGATGCCCCTGCCCACGTCCCACCCACAGGTACTGGATGTATGCGGCTGTGCGTGCCGGCGAGGTGGGGGTGCTGGTCAGCAATGACGAGATGCGGGACCACACCTTCCAGCTCCTGGCCCCCAGGTGCATGGGCGCCGCCTGCTGGGACTGGCCAACGGGATTGCTGGCGTGCGTGCATGGCGCCACCCCTCCAGGGGCCCTCGTTGCTGCACCGAAACCGCACCGCACACTTTGCACCTGTCGCACCATCTGCACGGCCAACCATACATCAAGACGCCGATGGCCCTCTGACATCCCCACCCCGCCCAACCCCCCCACAAACCAAACCAGGTACTTTGAGAAGTGGAAACAACGGCACCAGGTCAGGTACCAGATCTACAACACCCTGGTCACGCTGCAGCTCCCGGCGCCCTACACCGCCTGCATCCAGCACCTGCCAGACGGGGCGTGGGTGTTCCCCCTTTCCGTGACCCGCTGGTTGCGGGCACAGCCGGCATGCGTGGGCCCGCCGACCGGAACTCTGCCCCCCGGGCAGGCTGAGTTTGGGGCCGACCCCGCCCTCCAGCCGCAGCTGTAGCTTGCTCCCGGAGTTTGACAATGCAAGGGCGTACACAAACAGGCACGCAGGATGGGTGCAGCGCTGCGCACTTGACCACGGTGCCCGGGCCACTGGACCAGGAATACACATGCCGGCGGGGCCCCGCGCCCGGCGCCCGGCGGCCGCGCAAGCCCGTCCCGCAGCCTATCGCTGCACCAGGCCCGCCTCCCGGTCCCACTCCTCTGGCTTCTTCACGTCGTCCACGATCTTGCGCTCCGGGGTGACGATGCCATCGCACACCCCATACGCGATGGCATCCTTGGGCTGCATGTACAGCGGGCGCTGCAGGTCCTGCAAGCAATGCGCATTGGAGGGGGGGGAGGGGGCGGTGTGACGCCGTGTCTAGGGGAAGAGGAAACTGGCCAACATGTACTCACATACTGGGGCCGAGGAGCAGAGCGGGTGAACAGCCCAGGGCACGGCTGGCCATGCCACCACTCCGCTGCAACCTGCCACCCCACTGCACCTTGTCCAGCTTCTCCACGCTGTGCCCCGTGGTGTAGGACAGGATGTTGAGCATGTTCTCCTTCTGGATCAGGACCTGGAGGGTCGGGGGGCGGGGAGCACTGGGGTTGGTCAACGGTCAGGGGGAGGACGGGGCCCGGGGTGCCGCAGCAGGCATCAGCGCGCACACACCCACACCCACACAAACACATCCCACATGGCCCCCTGCCCCAGGGAACCCCCACCTCACCCCACCGCGCACCTCCTTCCACTTGATGGCAATCTCCACCGCCTGTCGCTGGCCGGTGGGGGGCACGCGGGGCTGGTGCAGCATGGCAGTGGCGTGCTCCAGCATGAAGCGCTTGCCCTTGGTCCCCGCCGACAGCAGCATGCAGGACTGGCCCATGGCGATGCCGACGCCCACTGTGTGCACCTGGAAGGGCAGAAAGGGGGGGAATGGGGGGGGGGGGGGGAGGCTGTGAGAGACGTGCACTCGATCGGATGGAAAGGTCGTTGCTGCTCTGTCTGAATCATGCTCCCAAGCTGGGTGCAGGCCGTGAATTATTCTTGGCCGCGCCTTGGGAGAAGGCCCTGCAGCGTCTCGCAAACAAGCAGGGTGCAGGCGACGGCTGCACAGGCACTTCCGCGACATGAAGATACACCATTGGCCGGCCCTTACACCGGCCCCTTCTCCCCACCTCGTTCTTTACAAAGCACATGGTGTCGTAGATGGCGGTGCCCTCCGTCTCGAAGCCCACCGTCTCGCCGTCAGCCCTCGTCGTCCCGGTGGAGTTGATGTACAGGAAGATGGGTTTGCTGGAGTGAGGGCGAAGGTGAGGGAGCGGAGATTGAACACACCCTGTGCGGACACTTCAAGCAAAGTGTGAGGCAAGACCCAAGTTTCGAGCCCTGCCTCCCTGATGAGATGACTTCCACCCCACACCCTGCGCGCACGCACTGGATGTCCTTGTACTGGAGGTACATGAACTCCGCGATCATGAGCTCGGTAACCGCGGGGACCAGGGGCATGCCCAGGTACACGATGCGGGAGTCCAGGAGGAGGGATGGCAGGTCGGGCGGGGGGGAGCGGGGCTTGTGCTCACTCGGCGAGGAGGCAGCGGCGCCGGGTGCTCCAGAGGAGGGCGCGGGCTGACGAGCGGCCTGGATGCTGGTGTCGGGAGTCCAGAGGGACATCAGGCGAGGTGTCGCCTCCGATGTGCCGCCTGCGGGGATCACGTGGTGAGCGGCGATGGTCGGTGAGGAGGGCACCCCACCGATGTGGCGACCCCAGGTGTCAGTGGGGCCCCCGGGAACGCACCGTGGGGCAAGGAAGACAGGGACTGGCAGCTGACTCTGCGCCCATGCTGAGTCCTGGGCCTGAAACTGGATCTTTGTAGCCTGGGCGGAGCTGCGGCCGTGCAAAAGCAGGTCGCGAGGTGTGCAGACATGGGTAAGGACGGCTTTCGCCTACTCCGCCCTAGAAATGTCGGTCGAGCAGATCCGAATTACTTTCACTCTCGCCCTTGCACCTATAAACAAGAGGTTTGTGGAGTGGGCTCCTTGTCGAATGCAAATCCCGGGGCAACATGCGCGACTCCTCGATGTGTGTCCAGCATCCAGATCATGCTCGCAGCATGGTCATGGAGGAGGGAAGGGCGGGTACCGTAGTCACAAGTGCCCGATGTTGTTTGCGGTGACCAAAGAGTAAGCATTAAAAGATGTAAGCATAGGAGCTGAACTAGGTGCCTTCCGTGGAAAGGTGCTAGGAAAGATGCAGGGGAGTGCTTCCATAAATGTGCTGGAAAACTTTCGGAAGAGGCAGGTGCAGGCTAGTCAGCTCAAAGACGATGCAGCCAAAGACCGCGAGGCAAAGCTGGCGCGACAGAGAGAGATGAAAGGTGCTTGATAGGTGCATGGAGCGAGGGTAGGCGAAGATGTTTGCGCATCCTGTGGCGGCACACCGCTGAACCCCCACTACGACCGGTCCACACTCCAGCGCGTCGAAGAGAGTCTGAGGCCAAGAGCCGAACACACCCAGCCGAATCAAATTCTTCTGCGCCCTCGACGTCCACGGCGCAAGCCAGTACCTCCATTCCCGCGGACTTGTACGGAGGTGCACCCCAGGGGCCCCTTGGGCTCCGCCAAAAGGCAAGCTGCCCACAACCCAGTCATTGGCCCCCTTTTGGCATTATCTGAGGTAGTGATAACTTCAAGCTCTGGCGGGCTATTTCACACCCCTAACCCTGTCCACATTGCAGGCTGTAGTCGATTACCTGCAGAAAGAGGCGGCCCTGTGTACAATAGCACAAGTGAACGCAGCATTGAACACGTGAGAGCTGCCTGGTGGTAGGTGTGTTTGCCTTTAAAGTTGATGAAGTCCAGCTTTTACCCCACACCATGATCCTACCCACTCCTGCAGACGAATAGAGGATGATGCAGCGCTGATGAGGGAACTGCGGCGGAATGAGAAGGTTGGCTTTGATGATGTCGAGGGCCGCATCTTCTACCAGCCTGAGATAAATGTCAAGAACAAGGCGGCCATGCTGCAAAAGATCCAGGTGTGTGACAAACCTGTCCTCCTCCAGACCATTTTGGAAGCGTACCCCAAGGCAGATCAGGACGTCCAGGTGGGTGGCAGCCCAGAGATGACCCCACTGTTGGTCGCGGAGGGTGCAGGTCGTCAGAAGGGGGAGGTGTGCTTAGCCTCGTAATTCCTTGGATGCTGTCGAAAATGCCATTGCCATTTTCTTTATGAACTTGTTTGGGAGAAGTATGATCCTGTTCTTTATCTCCCTTTTCTACTTGTTTCCAGGCGTTAAAGGCTGAGGGCAAGATCATAGGTTTTCAGTCGTTTGAGGCTGAGATCAATGGGGAGGTCCTCTTCCCCATAGATCAGAGACTGGTGGGATTCCGGGTAGATGCAGCCTTGGTCGACCTATGGCATCAGGTGGAGGGGGTGGGGAAGTTTAGTTGTGGCCATTGCCAGTATCACTGGGAAGGGCTCCCGCTTGTTTGAGCCACCATATCGATATGCTGCTGATCGAGGCTGCTGATAACATCTCCTTCCACTCTCTGCGCCCTTGCCCTGTTGTGTCCACAACACAGACCGAAGTTCCAGAGGCAGAGGACGACCTCATAGCAGCCGTGCAGGCAGCAGGTATGCTGGTGTGGGTGAGGGGGCAACCAGGTGGCGATCGGCAGGGTCTGCCAGCGGTGCGCTCCAGCATGCAGTGGGGCGGAGGCTCACCTCCCCTCCTCCCCGTGTGCAGGGCTCAAACCCGCTCCACGCAAGGCCGTGCGGAGGCGAGAGAAGGCCGACCGCAAGAAGAAGGCTCGAAAACAGGCCAAGCTGCGCTCCGTCACCAACGTCCACCTGATGCACCTGCTGGACGGGGACGCCCCAGTTACCATAGACTGAAGGGTGGGGCTCGGCTCTGGTGCCCCCCGCGCTCTCCAGTGGAGCCTGCCCCTCCCTGCGCCACCTGCAATCGTGCAGGGCTCCCTGCAGCCCTGGACTTTTCTTGCTATCAGCACCCTGGCAACTGCTCCTCCCTGCACACCTGCAGCCCCCCTCCCCCCCCCCCCCGCCTCATGTCACAGGGTTTCAGCACATGATGAGCGGCACACTCGCGGAAAAAGAGAAACATGCCACCCTGTACACAGGCAGCGCAAAGGGTGAACTCGTCTAGTCCAAGGGGGGCGGGTCGTCGGGCTTCTGCAGGTTCATGGCCTCCAGCGCGGCCAGCATCTCGCTCTCCTTGCCGCCCTGCAGCACCGCCCGCAGCTGGTCGGGGTAGGCGCCGTCCACGGCCCGCAGGGCAGCCAGCAGCGCCTCCTCGCCATGCCATGCTGCCACCTGTCAGGGCATGGTGGGGAGGGAAGGAGGGGAGAAAGATGGCTCCGAGCTCCGTCACGGGGTATTGGTCGGCTGGGCTGCATGCTTGAGCAATGCCTCTTGGTGAACCGTGTCCGGCTTAATGCATGCAACAAACCATCACGCGACGCTCCCGAGCGCCAACTGGTCACCCAGGCCGCCCCCCGCGCACCTTTTGCGCGGCTGCCCGCACTGTCTCGGCCACGTCCACCTCGGCGATGGCATGGGACGTCGCCACCGACAGCCGCCGCAGGGTTAGCTGGTCCTCCTCGTTCTGTAAGTAGGGGGAAACCGGGCAGGATCGGAGAGAGCGGGGGTCCGACCAGCCTGCCTGCCTGTCTGCCTGCGCCACCCCAGCAGCTCGCCATGACAGACGCCGGAATAAGGCATGCAAGGCAGGGCCCGACCAGAAGGCCCCCTTACTATGTTTTGGCAGCAGGACAACGAAGGTGAGCCCGGGCAGGAGGTCCCGGCACAATTTCCTCCCCACCAGCCCTCACTCACCTCTGCGCGGGCCAGGCTCTCCTTGAAGCTCTCGACATCCTTGCGGTAGGCGGGCGCCTCCTTGACGGCCTTCAGACCTGCAGGCAGGGGCGGGTGGTTAAACAGGTGACGCCCCCGCAGTCCCTTCCATCACCCGGCCAGCGACGGAGCGGCAATCGATCCCCAGCCCATGGTGCTATGCATGGCCACCTCCGTGCCCCGCCCCCCCCTTTCCCCCTGATCGTCACCCTTCACATCTCAACCCACCCAGGACGATGACGCGCGAGGCGCGGGCCGCATCGCGCAGCTGCGGCGCCGCGTCCGCGCAGAGCAGGGTGGCGGCCACGACGGCCGCCTCGTGCCGCCGCGCGCGCGCCGTGACCGCCAGCGGCGGCAGGAAGAGCTCGGCCATATCCACGGTGAGGGACATGGAGACCCACCGGTCCAGCATTCTGGGCGGTGGCGACGGGAGGGACGGGTGGAAGGGGAGATGTCAGGCGGCCTGTTGCGTCCGGGGGGGGTGCCGTGGACGCAGGCGGGGCGCTAGAGGTGCAGGAGAGGGGGGCCCCAACCACGAGATGTGCGAGCTTTACCGCGTCATCCAGGTACCACAGCCCTCGTGGGACGACACGTGGCTCCTCGCTGCTTGCCCCAGTGGAGATGCAGCAGCCCCAAAGGCCGTCCGGATCAGCCAAGAGTGCGACACTGGTGCACACGCTGACTGTCGCCCCCCCTCCCATCAGCCAGGGCGACCCGTCCGCTTCCCCACCCCAATCCCCCAGGAGCTCACCGAGTGGCCCTGGGGCTGTCCCCGCCCTCCCCCGCCTCCGCGCCCATCACCAGCGCCCAAGTCCCGCGCGGGTCGATCCAGAGTGCGGCGCTGATGACCTGCATGGCCGCTTCCAGCACGCCCAGGGCGCGCGCGGGGAGGCGGGCGACCGTGCCGCCAAAGTCCGCGCCGGCCAGCGCCGCCGCGGCCTCCAGCGGGGCGCGCAGGCTGGGCGGGGGCGTGGCGCCGCGCGGCACCTGCTGCAGCACCAGCTGCGCCAGCGAGGCGGCGCTGAGCGCCTCCTGGATCTCGTCTGGGTGGGAGGGTGTGGGAGGAGGTTTGCCGGGCAGGGATGCAGCAAAGGGGGCCTTCCAGGGGAGGGGCTTGTCGTATGGACATGATGCCACCCTGGGAAAAGCCCAAAGGGAGCGTCTGATGCCGGCCCCTCCCTGCCCCGGCTCCCATGCATGCCACGGTCGACCCAGAACAACAGCAGCTCCCAAGGCGCCTCGTCGCCACACCCCTGCCAGCTCGCGCCTGGCTGAGCAGCCCGGGCCGGTCTCGAGTCCAGCACGCTGCACCCACCCAGGCCATCCCCTCAACCCCCCGTCCCCACCTGGCTGCAGCATGCCGGCGCGGCCGCCGAAGCGGGCGCGCGCCGCGGCGTGCGCCCCGCCCCCGCCCGCATGCTGCCCCGTCTTCCTCGCCTGCGCGGCCGCCGCGCCCACAGCCGGCTGGCTGGCCAGCACGCGCTCGAAGGTGGCTGCCACGTGGTCCATGAGCGGCTGCAGGGCCGGGCCCAGCGCCTCCACGCCGCCCAGCAGCAGGTAGGCCTCCGCCAGGCAGTAGACCTGCACCATGTCCTGCCCGCGCGCCAGCAGCGGCATGAAGCGGTGCGCGAACAGGTCCTGAGGGGGTGGAGAGGGTTGAGGGGTGATGTGACGGTGCACAGGTGTGTGTCAAGGTGCGTGGGGGGGGAAGACGGCGGCCGGGGGTGGCGGCGGGGGG